TTTGTTTCGCGCCATGCATTGTCATTTTCAGAAACAATGATGTAACACCTGTTGTTTGGAATCAAAGTGAAGTTTTCTTTTTGTCTATCCTTTGAAGTTTAAGAGTGTATAAAAATGAACCATTTAATACAAAGCATTTTACATATTGGTTGTTAATATGCAAACCTTTAAATCATACCAAGACTTTGAAGGTCGTATCTAATGATGATAAGTTCATGTCTTAAAATGACGGGGCTTTTGGGATCCCAAAGAAAACATCCTTGTTGTCATAATATCATCTGATTTTCTTCACTTCACTGAGGAAAAGACTGAGAGGGCCAAGTTCCCGAGAAATGTGTACGAAAGGCCAAATGTGGCCTAGTTGGCTCTCTGACATTAGCTGTGACCTGAGAGATGGTTGTGGGTAACTCAAAGCACTTGAATGCCTCAGTAACACACAGTAGTTGTAGAAAATGAAAAATGGATTTTGAAGACCAACAGAGACATGTCATTGACAAACAAAACATGATAAAGCAGCTACTTTATAGTTACCAAAAATTATGAAAACACTCATATCTGTCACGTACATTCAGCAAATCTCCTTACAGTACAAATACTTGGCTGAACAAAAGACCGATCATTACCAACAGTGGAGCAGTCTGGGACAAAGCAGGGGCCGTGTTGCAGTAATCCCGCTCGCATGAGCAGTACGTCCCTTCAACCTCGCCGGTCGTAAAAAAAGACACTATGAGTCTCACCGCGTCTTTAGCCAAACCTGTGAGCTGTGTGGAGCTGGCACATCCATCCACCAACTCACCGACTGGAACGAAAGCACACCCTCGCACCTGACCAGTGACTGCGGTGTTTCCAACTGTTGAGACCAGGAAGAGTGGATGCTTAGTCAGCTTATAAAATCTGCACGTTTTCGTTTCGTGAAATTCTCTTACATGCATACCTAATAAACACTCTTGAAGAGAAACAATCTAAGTGTATAAGCTGTCTCCACTGACCGATTTCTGAAGTGAATGGTTGCGCTAAAGAGAGAGCCATGTTTGGATTAATTAAGAAACCAGAAATAGAAGCCATTACCGCGGTGCCACTGCAATCTTGCTTGCAGATGGTACGCGTGTGTTACATGCCTCTTCAACCAACAGGCTCTCCCGATACACCCAAAGCACACGCTTCTAAAATTAACTTCAAGAACGCAGGCGACTGCGATGCCGCCCCGTAGTAATGGCATCACCTCGGGCTGAGTTCGGGCGTCTTGTTCTCGTTTATTCACGAACAGATCGATTTGTTGTTCGTGAATTCGGCCGCTCGAACGCCGGGAACATACATTTAATGTTGGTAGTTAGTGGCAAGCGACATGCACATTATTCGAGAGTTTATGTTTGGATAATTGATCTGAATTCTATTTTATTTTAATGAAACATTCATTTCTGTGTTATGAAAAACAATTAATGTTAATTTTGCAAAATTCCCCATTGTGTCTGGCTTTGTAAGCCATTTCTCTACTTTTTGCAGCTGTCCAAAAATCAAAATCTCACGAGTTTTCCCGTGTGTTCCTGTAAAACCCTGACGAGGAGGTGGTGTGTGATCCTGTTCCTGTTCTGGAGTCGTGTTCTCGCCCGAACTCGACCTACGAGTTGATCTCCACTATATGGTGGCTCGGAAGGGATATAAAATTCACGACTAGTCGAGAATGTTTTCGCTATATCGTACATTTTTGTCACCGCTATTCATGAATATTTTTCCATTAGCTTGGAGGGTAAGTGCGCTAATAACAAACGGCAAATACATAATGATAAGCGCCTGCCTGGCCTTGAACATTCTATATGTACAGCGGTGCAGTGACCATGCGGGTGTAGGCCTACTGTTGCACGGTTGTCCACGTGCGATGCAAAGTGAACAGTGAAGCTGTGCATTGACAAAGAAACAATGGCCTTGGGAACGACATGGCTCAGAAACAAAAGGTTTGCTTTCCACAAGACTTGTTCCTGGTAAGGACATACATGTATCTTGAATTTAGCCGTGTCTCTGGAAGGCTTTGAAAGCCTTGGCGCTCGGTCGGGCAAATACGAACCCTTCAAGTTTCTGGAAAAATATCAGCTACAAAGTTTGCGACTGGTAAATTTATTCATGGCATGTCATAAAAAATATTCGTGACACTGCAAAAACATTTACAACTGGTCGTGAAAAATATTCGCGACTGCTCGGACGACGTCGCCAAAATATTCGCAACTAGTCGTGAATAAATTCACGACGTCGTCAAAATAAATTCGCGACTGGTCGTGAATTTTATGTCCCTTCAGGGCCACCGTACCACTACATTATCTTTACGATGGAGGAAATGATAATTGGGTAGCAAAGATCAAGAGGAAAGATGTCTAGTGCCACATCCTATTTTCTACATAGGCCAACGTACTAGATTTCAAAGAGAGAAGGAGGACCCATTGCAGAAATGAGAACACACACCAACATTCTCGAGTCTCGACTTAGCACTGCAGGAAGTGCCCCTCGTTAATTTCAGAACGGAGCCCAGAGTGGCAAGTCAACTCACGGAAAGGAACGTTAACGGTGAACTTCCCCTCCCACTTCTCACACATGGGTGTCTGGCCGAAGACGGTTCCACAGTCCTGCAGGACAACTCCGTTCGGATCGAAGGTTGCACCTGCGCATGCTTCGTTCGACTGCAAGCTTCCGAGGTTGTCGTTGCTGGCGACAAAGTTGGTACACTGGTAGCATTTCAGCGATGAGACTGAAAGAATGAAAGAGGTTTGGTTAACCTTGGTCAACCCAACTTAAATCTACCTAACTCTTACTTTCAGCTAGTGTTTCGCTTTCCTAGCTTTGTTGACACAGCACATGCAAGGGCATTGCTGAGCGGATGTGTCGTCGTTCTCCTTTGCCAAAACACGCCATCTGTTGTCAACGGTTATTCAGTGCTATGGCCTCTCGCATGTTAAATTTCAGTATGCAATAACATGGATAGAATATGTTCAACACAAAGCATGGGCTAACACGTCCATGTGCAAGGGACAGTTTTTACGATATCATCGCAATGTAATTTCTGTGCCAATTTTCAGGAGTTTTCCCTTTAATGTTTTACGATTATTTAGAAACTATTATTATTGTTATTTTAAATGGGACATACCGTTCTAGCGAAATGTCCAACGACATAATTTATACTAAATGTCTCGGAGCTGAGACGCCTGAGGGCATGAAATGCGACCATGACCACAACATCCTCAGTCGGATTGAATTGAAACATAAAAATTGAAACATTGAAATATATACATGTATGTACATGTGCTTACAGGTTAAAAGAGATCAAGTATGAGACAGGCGAGATCTTGGGGGATCCTGCCCCCCCCCGCCTAGCAGTGAGATGATCCGAAAAGTCAGCCTGCCAGGTACCCACAATGCTTTGCATGCAAAGCCTGAGTTTCCTTACACAAAATTTCGCGACAGAGATAGGCCCTTCACAGCGTCACGTTTAAGGATGGATAGAACGGGCGAAGTGTTTACCTTGAGCAGTGCCGCCATCTTCAAATTGTAACCATGCATGCAGCCAAATCCACTTAGATCTCAGTTCAGGGGTCTAAATCCTGGAGGATAGGGGCATACATGCACGTACGTTGGCCTACAATTACAGTTATATGTATAGCCCCCACTTTTTCATGGGGGGGGGTGGACGTTTGGATCATCAACCTTGTTCGTTGTGAGGGGATTTTGAGGTGTTTTTCGACGTTTTCACCATGCAAAATGCATTCAATTGTACTAAACTGGGATAAAAATTATAAAAGCTTTTAAATATGCCGTTTTGTGTAAGGCCAAGGGGTGTAAGTATACATTTAAACGCACTTCTGTACCATGATTAGCGCCACCT